CCCAACAGAACAGCAGCTGCTTTACCTGACTTCAGAGCACCTTCATGATTCCCCAGCTGGATCAAACCCCCAGGACATCATTCCCATGATTCTTTTACTGATTATCCCATTTAACAGCTGCCTGCCAGCACTGTGTACTTACCATTGGAAATCCTGCACTGCTTGAGCACCTCACTGAAGCCCTCACACAGCTTGAGGTCAGTCTGCTTCTGGGCACACTCCAGGAATTGTTTCATCTCATACTGGCAAGGACCTTGCTGCTGCTGGGCAGCCTGAGCGGCCTGGGGCTCCTGAAACACCAAATGGCTCCATAAGGACCTTTCCAACAAAGCCAAACAAGCCTTTCCAGCAAGCCCCACACTGCTTGCTATGGGTTCTTCCCTGCATTTCAGTCAAAATCTTCATTTTTTTAATGGAAAACAAGTGAAGGGCTAAAGTACAAAACAATTTTCCAGCAGCAGAATGCCACATTCAGAGCAGTTTTTAAAGTTACAGAACTTGAGTGATTCTGAGACATTCAGGTAACTCAGGATGGCACCTGAGCAAAGATCTCCCCAACATCAGACCTGGAACATGGAAATCCTGCCTGAATCAGAGGAATGCAGTAGAAGATAACACCAACACCTTGCAACACATCCCTCCTGCATCCCTCTGAACTCTTTTTAAGATGACTCATGGCAAGTTACCTTGGAGATTCAGTCTGTCGTTATAGACTATATATAGTTTTATATATAGATAGATTATATGAAGTTTGTAAGCACTCCAGCTGTGACTCATGTGGTGTTTAAGGCTCCAGCAACTCCCTCAGCCCACGTGGAGCTGAGCTGCCATCAGCCAGTGTCCAGCCGTGCTTCCCCTCACCTGGTAAGTGACATCAGGCCTGGCAGCTTCGGAGCTGCCCCCTCCACTAAATCCTCCGGTGATGGCGTGGCCGATGGTGTGTCCCACGGCCGAGCCCACGGCCACCCCGGCAGCGGTTGTGGCCATCTGGGCCATCAGCCCCGGCTGCTTCGGGGCCGGCGCCGCCACGGCGGAAGGCGGAGCCGCTGCGGGGACAGAGGCCCGAGGAGCCGGTGCTGGAGACGCGGCTCTCATCGGGGGTGCCCGGCTGCAGGGACACAAAGAGAAACATCACTTCATCATCATCATCCCAAACCACGCCGGGCAGAGGCCGCATGGCTGCGGGGCCAGAGCCCAGCGTTCCTGCTGTGAGGCACGGAATGTGCCCAGCTGGAAGGGACACACAGTGTCACACTGCGCTGCGCAGGAGATCACGCTGGGGTTACACACACCCCCGTTACACGCAAAGGAATGAACTCGGTGTTCTGGTAAGCGTCTTATGCAAGACAGGGTCAGGGTTACAGGCTTCTTTCTGCTCACACAGCTACTTTGGGGAAAAACAGAGTAAGACCCAAAAGCGGCTGATTACCACGGTGTTGGTGTCCAGGCCCTGCGGCCGAGCAGACCCACTTCCATCCCCCAAATCGCCCGACCCCGCTCCGCTAACCCACAGCCAGCCCAGCTCAAACCAGCCGGGCGCTGCCACCACCCCGGTGCGTCACCCGCCCGCACCATGGCGGCCAGGCCACTGCGGCCTGCGCGGGGGAGAGGGGAGAAAGAGAAGCGGCCCCCGCCGCCCTCACCTGGCGGGGGGCGGCACGCGGGACGTGCGGCTGCGGCTGCCCCTGGGCATGGCGGCGGGAAGCGGAGGAAGCCCCGAGCGGCGCGGAAGGAACCGGAGGAAGCCCCGAGCGGCACGGCCTGGCCTGACACCCGCACGCCGCCTCTGAAGGTCACCGCGTTCTACGTCACTTCCGGAACGCCGCGCGTGGGGCGGGGCTGAGCGGAGGCCACGCCCCCTCCGCCCGCCTGAGGCGCCGCGCGGGAGCTGCCGCGATGGCGGCGGGAGCGGCGGTGGCAATAAATAAATAAACACCTAAGCTGCGGTTAAACCCGGGCCTGGGGGATCGTTGGTCATAGTGAACGTTTAAATAGCGATAGACCTGCGTCTGTCGGACCTTCAGCCACAATAGGCGCCTAAACTGTGATAAATATGCGCGTGCGGGATCCCCGGTCACAATAAACACTTCCGCCTTTGTAGGATCCTCGGTCATAATAAACATCTAATTAGTGTTAAACTCTCGTTTTTGTGGCACTTTCAGCCACAATAAACCCCTAAATAGCGGTAAATCCGCTCCTGTAGAGTCCTCAGCCACAATAAACTCCTAAATCTGTGAGGGACCATCGGTCACAATAAACACGTAAAGCACAATAAACTCCTAAATCTGTGAGGGACCATCGGTCACAATAAACACGTAAAGCACAATAAACCTGCGCCCGTGGCACCTTCAGCCACAATAAACACCTAAATCGCCATGGAAAATGTTCCAGCCTTCAGGGAATCGTTCTCTGTGGAAAAGGAGCCTCCAAAAACGTCTCGGAATTCAGCCCTTCAGGACAGTAACAGATTTGATTTTATTTCTACGGAATCATGGGTTCTTCTGGAGCAAAGAGGAGATCCCACCAATCCATAGAAACATCTCCAAGGGGTGCCAGAGGATGATCCTGGATTCTTTTTGGTGATGCCCAGCAACAGGACGGGGAGTAACAGCCATAAACTAAAACACAACAAGTTTCACCTCAACAGGAGGAAGAATTTCTTTGGGGGTGGCAGAGCTCCGAACCTGCTGTGTCCCTCTCTGGAGACATTCCAGCCCCACCTGGATGTGGTCCTCTGGCACTGCTCCAGGTGACCCTGCCTCGGATGATCTCCAGAAGTCCCTCCAACCCCAACCATTCTGTGATTCTGCAATTTTCATCCCAAAAAAGAAGCGAGGGTCCCTCCTGCCTCCTCATCCCCACCCTTGTGCTGTCTCCTTGCTTTAGAGACACTGTCTACTTGGAGAAATTAATTTTTAAAATTAATTTATTAATTACTGTATTAATGAAGCTGTTTCTACACGCAGCAGCTATGATAAGGGATACCACAGTCAACAGTTATGATAATTCAAGATAAAAAAATTGCTTGTTGGCAGTTCCTTCACTTAAAAAGAGGTGAAAGACCAGACATTTCAACATCTTTTACATCAGGGGATGTAACTGTTGCCTGATGAAAGAAGTGCTAACATTGTGAGTTTATAGAGCAGGAGCACAGCTCAGAATAGCAGTTGCTGACAAGAGAATTATCTGGTTATAAATATAAATGATAAACCACGTTCAGAAGAGGGACATCTGCAGAAGCTCAGACCTCTGGTGTTGCTGCAGGACAGCTTCTTCTCCCTGGCTCTTGGCCTCTCTCCATCTCTGACAGCAATAATTGAGCAATAATTTTGCTTTTCTAGAGGTCAAGCAACTAGTTTCTTAATGAGTGGTTTTCTCAATGCTTTTTAATTAATAGTTTTCAATTTTTATTTTTTTTTTCTGGCAGAACGATTCTTGACGCATGAAGTCATTTTGTGACCGCGTCCCTCTTGGATTTGTTTTGTTTTGCAGAACAATGAGGGCAGGATGGCACTGCAGGCAGGATGAATGCTGCCATTGTGCTTTGTCCTCCTGCTTTCCTTGGGAAAACTCCAGATCTCCCTTTTGTACCGGCTCACCCTCGCATCTGCTGATGCTCACAGCGCACAAGGATTTGGAGAAAGGCACAAGAACCAGGAGCTGGTGGCCATCCCAAAAAAATCAGCAATAATGGTGGTTGTGGTGATGTTCCCAGCAAGCGATTGTTTATTTTCAGCTGCCATGACTTTGATGTGGGTGCACCACAGGGATTAAATGGTTCTTTAACAACCAGACAGGTGTTGATGCTGCTTTTGATAGAAAGGCGTGAAAGAAACAAGATCCAGCCCTGATTTTGGGTTGTTTCTGTCTGACTGTGACCCAGTGTGGCAGAATGGGATCCCAGGTGTGGGAAATAAGTGATGAAATCCCATTGCTCAAGGCTGAGCGAGCCCTGGGGAATCCAGCCGCTGCTCCCGAGCCAAGTGGAGCACGAGGCTGCGGTGTGAAAACCAAACTTTTCATAGATTTCTTCTATCGTCCGTCCGAATTACACATCCCAGACAAGCTCGTGCTGAGTCTGGGAGCGTAACAGGCCCTCTGCACACCGGGCTCTGTGCGGGATGCGGGAGTTTGGCGCATTCTGCCCAAAATCACAGAGAAAGCCCTGGAGAACGGGGCTGAGGCTCACATCACCTTAGCTCCGTGAAGGGACAATCATCCCTGAGCGTCAGCTCAGCCGGGGAGACCATTTTGTGTTTTTAGGAACTGCCTGGTGCCCCCGCATCCCACACAGAAGGGAAAAAATGTGAGGGAAAGCCCATTTTCCTGCTGAAAATGCCTGTTTGCCCGCTGGAAAATCCCTTTTTCCTGCTGAAAATGCCCATTTTCCTGCTGAAAACGCCCATTTTCCTTTTGGAAATGCTCATTTTCCTTGTGGAAAAGCCCATTTTCCTTGTGGAAATGCCTATTTTCCTTTTGGAAAAGCCCATTTTCCTTGTGGAAAATCCCATTTGCCTTGTGGAAAAGCCAATTTTCCTGTTAAAAATGCCTGCTTTCCTTTTGGAAAAGCCCATTTTCCTGCTGGAAATGCCCATTTTCCTCCTGGAAAAGCCCATTTTCCTTGTGGAAAAGCCCATTTTCCTGCTGGAAAAGCCCATTTTCCTCCTGTAAATGCCCATTTTCCTGCTGGAAAAGCCCAGTTTTCTCGCTGGATTCAGGCCGGGGGGGGCAGCGACATGAGGGGACTCAGCTGGGGCTCCCGGCGGCCGCCAGGGGGCGCTATGCCACGCCCCCACCCCCGCCCAGGCCTGACGTGACGTCGTCGCGAGGCGCCACGTCCGGCGCGAGCGGCGAGGGGTGGGGCCAGCGCGGGGAGGAGAGGGAGGGGGTTGTGGCGCGCCCGCCCGGCCAGCCAATGAGTGGCGCGCGCGCGTGCGCGGCCGGCCAATGAGGAGCGCGCGCGTGCGCGGGGCGGGGCGGCGCTGGGCGCGCGTCGCGGGCTGAGGCGGAGGGACGGGGCCAAGATGGCGGCGCCCGTCCTGCTGCGGGTGTCGGTGCCGCGCTGGGAGCGGGTGGCGCGGTCCGCCGTGTGCGCCGCCGGCATCCTGCTGTCCCTGTACGCCTGCCACCTGGAGCGCGAGAAGGGCCGCGACAGCCACTACCAGGCCCTGTGCGACCTCAGCGAGCGGGTGCGCTGCTCCGCCGCCATCACCTCCAGGTGAGGCGCGGGTGGGACCCGCCGCCGCCCCCGCGGGGGGAAGGGGCTGAGGGCTGCGGGAGCGGTGGGGACGGGTCCCGGAGTGCTGCCTCCCGTCCCTCGGGAGGTGCTGGGGGCCGGGCCGGTGCTCGGAGGGGCTGCGGGCCGGGCGGGGGCACGGAGGGGCCGGGGGCAGCGCTCCCGGTGTGGGGCAGCCCCGCGGCTGGAGGGCCGCTGTGGGAACGGGGATTTTCGGGATCGCTGCGGCTGGAGGGTGAGGCACCCGCAATTGCTGTGTTGTAATCAGTGTCAGTTAGGTGGAGTGACAGGCGTTTTAGTGGTAAAAGCTCGGCAGAGAGGAGTGCTGTAGCTGTGAGCCGTGGTTAAGGACAACATAAACAAGTGCGGTTGCGGGTGGTTGGCTTTGTTAGCTTTAATTGCAGTATCTGTATTGCGTTTTCATTGGGACATCTCCTGGCAGCACGGGAGATGCTTTGGTGATCCAGAGGAAGTGCTTCATTCGAGGGAGACTTGGATGCCTCTGCAGCACAAGCCCAGTCCAAATCCTGACTTATTTTGCAGATGTCCAGCCAGTACAGCAGTTGTTTTCTAAAGGCCAAGGGCTCTTGTTTCTGTTAGGAGAGTCATTGTATAAATCTGGTTCTTGAGCAAATCTGTGTATTAAATCCTTCCTCTTTATTTTAATGAGAATTTTGTTGTTATTGTGTTAGTGTCTTCAGCTCAATGAGTACTTGAGATTTCCTTTTTTCCCTCTCAGTATAACCTGTGCAAAAGCTGTCACAGTTTTTATAGAGGTACTTGCTGTATCATCATAACAAGCCAGTTTGGGGGAGTATTCTCATTCTCTGTCAAGCTGTGAGCTGTGAAATTTTTGAGGCAAAACCTCCAAGGAGCTCTTTTTCCTAAATCCTCTTCTGTGGTGACAGAAGTGAGATTGTGTGACAGAAATCTGGATCTCTGGTCACCTGATATTGTGGTTGAGTGAAGGCTTTAACTCTGCTTTTCTGTCTGCCTCAGGTCACCTTTATTTGTGAAGGTGCTTGTTCATGTCTCTGCTTGGAAAGTGGCCTGAAATGAGAAGTTTGGCTCTAACTAAGGAGAAAACGTCAATAAACTCACCAGATAAATTCAAATAATGTGAATTAAATCATGCTTAGGCTACTGAGATTAAACCACGTGAGTCTCATCAGGAATTTAACTTTGATCACAGATACAGGGTAAAAAGAGAATAACAGAGGTCGAAGCCTGGTCTTGTATGGAATTGGTCCTCCAACAGCTTTTTGTTGTTGCTGATGTGACAGGGAATTGGATGCCACAGTTTTGATGCGTGTTTACTGAATACTTGGGAGCAGGAAATTACCTAAAGATATAATTGGAATTATTTCTAATTATGGAACCAAGCTCGGTAATTACAGCGTTCATTAGCAACGCCGCAGCTGACACGTTGAGTAAGACCTGGGAATCCTTTGCTGGAGGAATTCTGGAGGATAATGTGAGGAGTTAGGGATAAAATGCTCTCAGATCTCCCAGCAGTTGCTAGGAGAACCATGCCTGGAGTGAAGCACTGCAAATGCCAGGAGAGCTCGTGATCGTTGGAGCAGGTGGTGAAAGGAGTTTGTGGAAAGGAAACGTGCAAGTTCTGTTCACTCCAACCATATTTGGAGAAGAATTTGCTTTCCAGGCTGTGCAGGACACAGAGGGGGAGCTCTGCTTTAAAAGTGAGGCAGGAGGGCAAGGCATTAAAGTTGGAAAGAAATTAATCTTATTTTCCACGTTGCCACAGCTCCCCATCCATTGTTCTCTCAGTTTCTCCAGCTCAGTGTTCCTTGCTCCCACACCACCAAAAGTTTCTCAGGAACTTAATTTCTAAAAGGAACTTTTAACCACACTTTAGATTTCACTGGGTTGTAAAGTTTCAATTTTGTGTTCCAGCTTTTTCACAGGTAATTCAGATTTAACTGTCACATTTCTCATTGAGCTGTTACACTGACAGTCAGAAATTATTGATTAGCTAATTATTAGAGTTAACTCTGCAGAGTTAACTGGGTGAGAAACTTCTGTTTCTACTTTGGATTTTAGATGGTTCCTTGGGTTATGTGACTTTTCATTTAAACTGGATTTGCTGATGGAATTTGGAATGTTGCAATCTTCACATCTTGAGCTTTGACTCCAAGAGTGGGCTGAACTTTAAAAAGCACTTAATGCTGTTAGGATTCATTTCAAATGCATAGAATAATTAGAATAAATTAGTTTATTCCTTCCTGAGCTGACTTTCTGGTATTTTGGGTGGAGTTTTTTTCACCAGCTGTTGGTATTTCCAAGTCTTGCTTTTAAGCCAGATCTGGCACTGGCACAACTGCAAGAACAGAAATGTAAAGACTGCCAGCATGCAGAGGGAGGAGCACAGAAAATCTCCTATCAGAGCCTGACTCATGCAGAGGGTTATGTTGGAGAGATCCCTTCCCAGTATCCCTTACCCAAAACATGAATGGTCAGCATATTTCAAATTTTTATCAAGGGGAAAGTTCATGAAATAGTTTAAAAATAAAATTTGCTAAGGAGTGGCTGATAATGGCAAGTATTAGGGCAATACCTCACATCCATGGCAATTGCTTTTTTATTTGTAAATTAATTGCTGTCTGATAGTTGAGAATAATTAAGTGTCAAGAATGGCTTTATTTATAAACTGGCTGGTTTATAAATTGGCTGCTTTATAAACTGGCTAATAGTTTTGGACTGAAAAATATTTTTGGTCTTGCTGTATTTTCACAGTGGGAATTAAAGTGATAAAACACATTTCAAGTCATACAGGTCATGCTACAGCTCGAAATAAAATGTGACCTTTAAGTGCTAATGCAGAGACCCAGAGCCTTTGGCTTTGGCCTTTTCCATGCCCTGAGAGATTTTGGGATCTTCTAGCACATTTTTCCTTTCTGTCTTGGTGAATTGGAGATTGCTGGAGGATAAATTGGTGGCTTAGAATGACTTCAGCAGCCTGGCATGCATTGATGAGTGCTGCAGGAGAGCCTCAAGACAGCAGCACAAACGAGCAAAGGGCACCTGTGTGTCTTTAGCAATATTTGCAGCTGCGTCAGTGAAGGGGTTTGGCAATAGTCAATATTGATCTTTGCCTGATTGCTGAAGGAGTTCTAGAGTCAAAGTGGCATTTTGGGCACCTGGATGTCATTGGTATTTTAGGAATTCCCTGTTCTGTTCATGGGCAAAGTCTTGGATTGGTGTCGTGTTTGAGGCACTTTGAGAAGTTGTGGAAAAGTCTGGTGTGACAGAATGGTTTGGGCTGGAAGGGACCTTCAAGGTCATCTTGTCCCAGCCCCTGCCATGGGTGGGACACTTTCCTCTATAAAAGCTGCACATCCACCTTATGTTTTCTGTGGATGCACCAAAATATTCACCTGGTAGTTCCTGAAAATGCCTGTTAGATGTGGGGTGTGTTGTGGGCAGGTCTGGAAGGGTGGCTGTGCAGCTGTAGTGTTATTGTGTGGTTCTGCTCACATTCATCAGTCACTTCAAACACTGAATTTACACCCAGTGTGTTCTTTTTGGTTGTTTGTGCTGGTGCAGAGCTGCTCCTCTGCAGAGTGGCTGTGAGTTGCTCTAAGAGCTGCAGGTGAAGCTGCCCCAGAGCACACCTTGCTAGAACTGTTCTGGTGCATCTTTACAGGGATCAAAGTGACAAGAACAACCCCATTGTCCAAGGAAATGGGGCATGGAGAAAACTTCCCAGACCTCCCTAAGGTGATGTTTCAACAGGTTCTGTTGTGGGGCAGTTCCTGTAAACTTCTGGTCTGTCAAGTTTGCTTAGTTCCAAGTAAAGAACGTTATGTGGCAGTTATTCATATTTAGAATAATAAATTCCTGATATCCCAGGAGTTCTTTTCATTGCTGTACCTGCAAGCAGACATCCAGATATGTTTGAGGTTTTCAGCTGCAAGTGTTAGTGACTGCTGTAAGGTGCTAGGAGATGAAAAAGGGATTCTGGATTGAGTGGGTTTGCTGTCTAAGGGAAGCTTGGAAAATCTCTGGTTTGGAATTGGGCAGGGAGAAATTGGAGGAGCCAAATTCAGTGCCACAGGGCAGGGGAGGGAAACCCAGAGTCACTCCTGTGCTGAAGGGAAACCCTGCCCTGGGAGCCAAGGTTCTCTGTCCCTTGTCCCCAGCTGGGCTGGCACTGTGCAGAGGGCTCAGGACTGGCACAGGGGGAGCAGAGGGTGTGAGCTGGGAGGATCCAGAGCTGATTCCTTGGGCTGGAGAGGGGAGGTGTTCCAGGAATGCTGGTAGAAACCAGCTTGGAGTTTTAAAGTTGCTCTTAAAGCTGCAGAAGCTGATAACTCAAGTATTTTGTTGTTTGTTTGTTTTTTTTGTTTTTTTTTAATTTTATCTTTCTAGTATAAAATTGATGGTTTAATACTGATACAACACTTATTGACTGAGGCACATCTTTTATAAAACACAGCAGTGCCCCTGCTGTGAGAATATTTTATTTTCCATCCTTACAGTGCTCACACAAACATGTGAATTTTTGCTTTTCATAAATATATCATTTCCAGCTTGGCTGGAATTTGTAATAGGGCTAGGTATTATTTTGCCTGGTGCAAAGTAAATTTAACAAAGTGCTTATAATTCAGATTTGGGCTCCATTTATGGTAGCTTAATAGAAAAGATTATTAAGGAAGGAATAGAAGGAGTCAGTCCTGTTGGCTTGTATCTTAAATAGCCAGTGCTACTGTAAAGGCTGCTATAAAATAATTATCCTCTGTCTGCTTAATATTTTGCTGATCTAGACACTGAGAGTTTTTACAGAGTCTATCTGAAGCAGAGCTGGAGGATATATAGAAGAAAACCTCATTTGGTTCTGCTAAATGCTGCTAATAGATTTAAACATGAAATTAAGTGTATCAACATTTTTGAGCACTCCTGGCAAGTTTACAAATGGGAATTTTTAATCTTCTTTTTTGTGGCTTCTAATTGAAGGCTTTTACTTAATTTATTAAAACTGTTAAGAGTGGCCTTGAAGCCATGAATTAGATTTAATCTAAAATCCTCTGGTGAAGCTGGAAAGAAGTTGCAACCAAAGTTTCTTAACATGCTCCAGATCCTTTGACCTTTATATGAGCTTTTCACTGAAGGCAGGGGGTGAGCTCTGCTCTCCTCTGAGAACTTTCACTCTGGACCAGAAATTATCTCAGAAGTCCAATGTTGCTTAAGGAAATGTGCACCTCACTTATCAAGTGTAGCCTTTTTTATTTTTTTGTTTTTGATAAAATTAGATTTATTGTTTCCTCTAGGTTACAAAGTGGTAAGGGGTGCTTGCTGTTGATAACAAAATAATGATCATGGGATGGTAAATAATTCTGAAATGAGAGGAAGTAACTACTGCTTAAATAACTACTACTACCCAAAAACCACCCAAATTTGAGTTCTTTCCTTGCAGCTTGAGTCCAGAATCTTTGTTGTTGTTTGTCCTTTTGCACCAAACCCAACAACTGAGAGAGAATTGTGTTGGCAACTGCTGCTGCACGAATGCAGAGATTGGGGATCAGACAAGCCTGTGAATAATCTGGTCCCCTGGAGGATTTGATTGCATTTCCAAGCAGTCCCTGAGGACACTGGGATGAGAGCTGGGAATTGTCCTTTTTTCAAGGCATGCTGGACCTGCCCTGAGCCAGTGTGGCTCTTTCCATGTTAGAATGGAAATACAGGGGTTACTTCAGCTCTGGGCAGAAAAACCAAGGGGGTTGCCTGGTGAAACCCAGGGGATGTGATTCTGCTGTCCCCAGGGGTGGTGTTGAGGTCAGTGCTCAGAAAGCTCCTGGGACATCCAGGAAGGCCTCAGGGGAGGCTGCCAAGGGCTGGTGCAGGTGAAACCCCAGGTTCTGATCCTTAAGGACAGTGGAGGCCAAGGAAAGATCATTCTTGGGGAAGGATCTTTGACAAAACTGTTCAAAACATCTGCAGGCAACTGTCAGAGCTGGGGCTTGGCTACAGAAACACTCCAGCATTTCTTACAGGGGCTGCAGGGAACGCTGATCCAGCTGCTGGCTAAATAAACATTTTCTTGTTGGTTTGTTTGACTTGGTGGGTTTGGCAGGCTTGGAATTCAGCTGCTTTTGGAGCCAGTGCTGACTACTCAGAGCTTGTAACTTGTTAAACTGGAAGGTTGTTTGCTTGTCCTCTACAATGTTGGAGATGCTGGTGGACTGAAAGAGGTTTTTGTGTTCCCTTTTAGCATTTTCTCTGCTAAATTATCTAAAATGTTTCAAGTGGGTCCTCTAATATTCTGTTCTGGAACATAGAGGATGTTCATAATTGTGCAAAAGGGATTGAAATTATTTTAGTGATGTAAAAGTGTAAGATTTTATTGGAGGTACATCACTTGTGGAGCACAGTGACCTCAGTTCTTTTTGTCTTCCTGTTAAGAAGTAACAATTGCACACAAATACTGCTTTAAACTTCTGAAAATGCAACATTGCTGAGCTTTGTGAAGTACCTCAAACCAAAAGGGGCATTGTTCAGAGGGTGGATAATAACTTTTAAAACCTCCTTTTGATAAAAGACAGTGAACATGGAACTGAAAGTCACTGCAGTGTTCAATTGTAGATGTTGGGAAAGGAGATGAATCACTTCATTTTTGATTTCTTGAAACACTGTTTAACATTTCGGAGAACATTCAGAGTGGTACATGCAGATAGGGAGGGAAACTGAGTTACAAAGATGTCTTAAAGGTTTGTTCCTTGTAATTAGCTCAGATTGCTTTTGATTTTAATAGCAGTGAAACTCGGGTGTGGTGAAAGTGGGTTTGGCACCTGTGTGTGTCAGAGTGCTCTGAGTCACCTCGGGTGACAGCGACCTGGATCTGAGCACGGAGCTCCTGCTCCTCAGGGATGGAGCCACCAGGCAGAGCCAGGAAAAGCTTGCAGAAATCAGGCTCTGCTTTTACCTTGCTCTGCAAGCAGCTCTGTACATCCTGCAGGTCATTTTGTTTAGCATTCTGTATATTAAAAAAAAATAAATGCAAATGATAACACTTCTTCTAAATGACCTTTTTTTTTAAAGGGCAGGTTACATTAAATACTTCCAAGTTTATTTTTTGCAGCTTATCTTGCTATTAGGACTTTCTTCTTGCTATTTGTTTGCCATATTTTTTTAGACTTTGAAAGTTATCATTAATCAGGCAATTCACACCTGAGTCTGGTGTGAAAATGAACACTACTCAGTTTTTATCCTTCCTTCACTTGCTGGCAGAAGTTCCTGGTTCATTGTGAGTTTTACAACATTAATAAAATTAGGAGACAATTTAGACTTTTCAGCAGGGAAATGGGAGTATGCAAAGTAAATATATTAAGTCTAAATACTTTGCTTTTCAGTTTGATGCAGAACACTTGCTCCCACTCCAAACCTTATAAGGCTGGGAAAAGTGTTCTGTGCTAAACCCCAGGCTGCTTAGCTGTCTCCAAGTGTGTGGAATAAGATGTGAGATTAGACCTGGACTCCATGGGCTGAAATGTAATACTTGATGTCCTCAAAGCTGCTACAAGGCCAACAAGACACTTAATGAACTCCTGCATGTGGAAAAAGCTTTCCCTGTGCTCTGACCTTGCAGCTCTGCACAGATCACTCCAGGACTCTGACTCCTGGGAAGGGCTGGAACTCATTATCCTTCCTCTGGCAACATTTTATTATTCTCTTGCAGAACAGCTGCAGGGTGAGGTTCTGTAAAATGCCATTTCTGATATTTTAAGCTCGAGTTTGCTCTCAGACATGACAGGATGTGATGAACATCAGAAGTGAGAGCACTCAGGTAGGGCTGGATTCAGCATCCTGCAGTTGGTTGGAGTTAGGCTGATGCTGAACCTTTGCACTTTGGGTTGTGCAGGAAAACCTGAGTGTGTTCAAATCATTCTAATGTCAGCCTGCCATGAATTCTCACTTGGACACCAGAACAATCCACTGAAGCTGTGGATGGCAGGCTGAAGCACATATAAATGTAATAATACAGAAAAATAAATATAAACTGTTCAATGTAAAAATGATAAATTCTTTAATGTATTTGTGTGGCTCTTTAATACAGCCTTTGGAATTTGGGCAACATAAGACAATTGTTACATGTGCTGTGACCATCTTATCAAAGGAAGGCTAAAGAATTAACAGTTCTCACTTAAAATCCAGGTAACATTTGACCTGTGGGAGGAAATCTCACCATCACTGAGATTCTTTGTAATTCTTTGTAACTTCCATAGCCCCAGAGCTGCCCTGGGGTGAGAGCAGAGAGGCAGGCAGTTCTGCCCTGCTTTTCCTGGCAGCTCTGGGGTGCTAAGGCTCTGTCCCCTGGAAGAGCATTGTGTGTGCTGCCTTGAAGCTTAATATTGGCACAAAAGTTTCACTTTTGAAAGATTTGAGACCAAACTAGCTGAAAATATGTTTAATTTTTGACTGCTTATACAGTAAGTCTGCTTTCTAAGAATTGTGACCTGCTGGGTTTCTTGGGGAGAAGAGCATAAGATTATTAATAGTAAATTCAAACTTAGTCTGCAATTAAAATAATGAGTTTTGCACAGATGGCTGTGAGACTACCGAGTGTTTTGGAGATGATATGAAATTGTCCTCATTGTGGTGCCTCTTTCTGTGAGAAAACTGCTGTGATGTGGTGATGGCAGGTCCCAGGTGAGTGACATCAGCACCATTGCTGCCTTGTGCAGGGACAGACCTGAGCTGTGGCTTGGTTCAGCAGGGCCATTGCCTCGAGGACAGGAAACTTCCTGAAAACTTCACTTTCCTTGGGGTTTCCTGCTGCAGCAGGATGAGGATTGGCACTTTTTCACTTTGCTCAGTTAAGCTGCTAATGTGAAGCAAACCTTACATTTGTTTGCTTGGCTTGATGCTCCAAAAATCTGCTGGCAGATATCCCAGTGTGCTTTTGTGAGTTAAATTACCTTGGAGGAGCAAAATAACTTCATATTTTCAAGTGACACTAATAAATAGGGTTCTCACTTTGCTTTTACAAATAATGGCATGATCTGCCTTAGGGCATGGAATTAATGGTTTCTGGCACAAACACAATTGCTAATTTAATCTTTCCTCCTCCTTTTGCAGCAGCAGTTTTGTAGGGCTTGTGCTGCTTTCTGCCTTATCACTGGAAAGTTGAAAGTCACTTTGTAGGGATTTCAGGTGTTGGTTCAAAGTGTCACACCGTGCAAGAGCTCCAGCAAACAAGGGCTGGGGATCTTGTGATGGTGCCATCCTCAGCTCGTGTGCTTGACAGATTTGGGTTCCTCCTGAGCTTGAGGAGCAGCTGAGGTACAGAGTTTGAGGAGCAGCTGAGGTACAGAGTTATGCCCTGGTTCTCCTGCTCTGATGCACACAAGTGAGTGGAACAAATCCTTGCCTCAGCTTTGTAGTGACCTTCTGTCTGACTGACTGTGGTGCAGAGCTGCTAAAGCTGTCACTGGGGGAAGGAAGTGTTTCTGTGACAAAACAGCTCCAAACTCCAGCCCTGGGAAGCAGAGCTGGTGTTCAGGGAAGTTCCAGCTGGGTGAACTTAGCATTTCCTGGTGTGTCAAACACCTTTAATCAGCAAGGTGTGGGATAAAGCTGTGCCCAGTGCTCCCCCTGTTGCTGCTTGGTTTTCCAGTCGTGTCAGAATATGTGTCCTTTTCTTTCCCCAACAGCCCTGAACTGGAAATGCTGCTGGAAAGCAGGAGGTGGCCAAACAAGAGTTAATTAATTTCCCTGTTTTACAGATGGGGTCGAGGATTCGGTCTCTTGGGTTCCATCTTTGGAAAGGACAGTGCAATAAATCAGTCAAACAGTGTTTTTGGCCTGGTGTTTTATATACTACAAATGCTACTTGGTAAGTATTCATTCACTTCAGAGCCTCAAGTGTAAAGCAGGGCTGTGGGGATGAAGGAGGGCAGCAAAATCCATTGCACAATCTGCAGGAAAGCAGATAAATGCTTCTGATTTTTATATCTTGGGGTTTTTTTAGCAGCACTCTAATGATACATCTGTCCAAAGGGCTTAAAAACCCAACTGATAACAAGAGTAATTGCATTTTCTCCTGATATGCTATTAATAATCCAAGTGTGAAGACAGTTTCTGTGCTGGTATTTTCACTCCAGTATATTTGGCATTGGATTGCATGGTGGAAAAGAGAGAGAATAAAAATGGAATGGGCAAGTTTTGGAGGAGTGATGGAGAGAGCAGGCAAAAAAGTGCATGAAATATAATTTTGTATATTTCTTGTTAACTCTGTGGTTTGCTACAAAGCTGTTAATCCTGACAGAAATAACTTGACCACAAATTTTCCTATAACTCAAGAATATGAGGATGGTTAATCCTACACACACTCCTTATCACAGACAGAGCCTTAGCTACTCCTCTCCAAAAATACCCAGGTGGTATTTCAACCAGAATTTTGTGTAACTGTTGCTGAGTGGCTGAGTTTGAATTCAGTTTTGCTCTGTGTGGAGAGGGGTGAGTAACTTTGTCTCTCTTGTTGCAGGTATGACAGCAAGTGCAGTAGCAGCTCTAATCCTCATGACATCCTCCATAGTGTCTGTAGTAGGGTCCCTGTACTTGGCATACATTCTGTACTTCGTGCTGAAGGAATTTTGCATTGTCTGCGTGCTCACATATTTGCTGAACTTCATTCTCTTTATCATCAACTACAAACGACTAGTTTATTTGAACGAGGCCTGGAAGAGGCAACTCCAACCCAAACAGGAATAACCCCTGCTGGAACTTTTGACTGACAGTCTGAAGACCCAACTTCCATTAAGTTTATTTTGCAGTAATTTTTTTATTCTCCATATCAGACACTTTTTGCCCCCCTTTCCCCCACAAGAATCATAATGGAAATTTTGAATTCTAAATTTCAAGGGGCCCCAGATAATTTCTCTGTGCTAATCTTCAGTTTCAATGCGGTTCTGAAAGAAAGCTCTGTAACAATCAAAGACAAGCTTTAACTTTACTTGGAAGGAGTTTTAGCCACAGCAAAACCTAGACTCTCTCTCTTCCCCTCCACTTGTGAAGTGGGTAACACTTGCTATAAAATATCCTGTATATAAATTCAGGTATAACAAGATGTGATCATGACATGAAATATTCTAGACTAGCATCACCATATTTAATATTGCCATGTTTACAGTAAGTGTATTTTTTCTTTTTTTCTTTTTTTTTCCCTTTTTTTTTTTTTTAGCTGATGGACTTAGATTTGACTAGGACTTATACTGTAAATAAAATCAGAACTCTTGGTTTCATCCCTGGAGAACTCACTGTCCCATGGGTTTGGTTAGGAGCTGTCAGAGGGTTCAGCTCAGAGTCGACTGACACGATGGAAGAAGTGACCTCCAAAGAACATGGAGCTGCTGCTCTCACTGTTGTGATTTCACAAGAATGATGCTTGGGGTTGGTTCCATTTCTTCTTCCTTTTTTTCTTTTTTTTTCTTTTTTCTTTTTTTTTTTTTTTTTTTTTTTTTTTTTTTTTTTTTTTTTTTTTTTTTTTTTTTTTTTTTTTTTTTTTTTTTTTTTTTTTTTTTGTCTCCAGTAACAAAAATGGAATTAAAGCTGAAACCTGAAGTATGTTGATTAAATGACAACCTCATTAATTTCTGTACAGAACAAAAATAGCTTCATGTGGTCAATGAAAAGCTGATTTGCAGATTGGGGGTTGGATGAAGTGTTCTTTGAAAGGATTCATTTCCAAGCAGAGCTGTTCCATTTGAAGCTGTGCTCAGCCAGCCAGTGTTACTAATGTTTGATGTTCTGTGAATGCTGCAGTATAGAATTGCAATTTGCAGTGGAAACCACTGAGTGAGCAGGATAACCAAGCAGTGCACTGAAAAAGCAGTTCCTTAATTGATCTTGGTCAGGATCTTTGGTTTGTGCTATATTGGGAAATGAACTTTAGGCCTGACACACACACAGAGAAGATCTCTTGGAAGGGCAACCTGTTTAATGGGATAAATAAGTCAATGTGCTCCTGAAAATGAAATGTGATATAGTGCTATCATTGCTCTTTCTAAGAACTAATTGGGGAAAAAAAATATTAAACTGCAGATTTAAACAAAGGAACAAAATTGTACATGTTGTTTCTGCACTCAGTATTCTAAGGCTGAATGTTAAAAGTGCCTTCTGTCTTCAAATCTTAAACCAAATACTTTGTGTTGAACTTGGCAGGCAGAAGTGTCCTTGCTTTAAAAATGAACAAACAAAATTCCCAGCAAACTTGCTGGGGATAGAAGAGTATTAAGAGATCTGGTTTTAGTTTTTAGACTGAGAAGTGGTAGCAGTATTGTTTTCAGTTTAATTTAAAAGCTTGATGTGATTTGGAAAAGTGAAATATTTGTGTTTCAGACTGTGTGACACCAAAATGTGTGGGTTCAGCTACTTTCTGTAATTGGTGCTGTGCTGCTTTTTGCCCTTGTCAGTTCGAAATATGAAGAATTCCAACTGCATACCCATTTATTTAAAGAACTAATTTAACTTTTAGCATTTTCATTCTCAAGCATGAATGTCAGAGAGACACTTCCTTTGTAAGTGAGTTTTAAACACTAAGGATAAACTTGACTGTGAAACGAGCAGTGTTTCCATAGAGCAAAACAAGGCTGGAGATCGAATTCATAAAATTAATATTTAAATTACTACTGAAGTCATTCTGGTTTATAGCAAGGGTAGAGGTGGAAACTGCTTTTCTGTACAGAGTTGTGTGGTGTGAGTAACATCTGTTGCATGTGACACTAAATGACTCGTCCCTCGTCTGACAGTTTAGCCAACAATCCATTAAATGAGTTTTGTATTGACCAGAGTATAGTTAAAGCTTGTCTTGATGTTTAGTTCTGTCTCTCAAATGCCTTCCACTTTGATATTAAGGGGAATGAATGATGTTGAATTGGTCCCTCAAGGCTTGGCTTTGTTCCCTCCCAAGCCCTGAGGCAGTAGCAGTGTTTAATGTGTTGTATAGATTTTGTTTTGATGCATTCCTGTGATCTACACTAAAGGCATGTTTTTTTCATCCAAGGAAGAGGTGAACATGTGCTGCTCCTATCTCAGAGCAAGCAGCCATGGAGACAAGTCTAATCCATGAGTACTTGGTCCAATTTCTGGGAAAAAAAAAGAGGGAAAAAAGCCCCATCAGCTGAAAGTATTGGTGTTGACTTAACTTCACTGTGTCTTGTGCTTGTTTGTGTGGGCATAGTCTGTTGATTCAGTTTGTTTAGTAAAAGTGTTTAGGGCCAGATTTTCAGCAGTCCCTGTCAGTGTGCACATAGGGAGCAAATGGAGCTGGAGTTTGGGCTCTGGGAGAATTTGCAGCCACACTTTGTGCACAGCTTTGCAAATCTGATCCTTAATTGTGAGCTCTCTTGTCTTGTGTGCTTCCCTTGCAGTTCCTTTTTACTGGAAGTGATTTGCTAGAAATGGCCCTGATTTCTTCTGTTTCTCTCTCGTGCTTCAGAAATGCAGCTGGCCTGGTAAAGGGCAGAGTAATCTTAGCAGGAGAAATTTGGACTTTTCTGCTTCCAGTTCTTGGGACTCTTTCCTTGCTGCTCCCAGTGATAGAAACAGCATCTTCCTTCCAGTAAAACGGTTGTGATTGAAATCAGGAGTGCAGCTGTGCCCCTGCCTGCCCCAGCCAAAATGTGGTGGCAAATATGTGCTTGATACTGGTTTTACCCTTACAAATCCAAAGGCAAATCCTAAAATTTCTCAAGGATGCAGGAGTCTGGGTAAAGGCAGGTATTTGGGCTGGCAAGAGACAGGGGGTGTTACAGAGATCCTCGGTGTGGTTTCAACACTCAGGAGAATGGAAGGGATAAAATTCACAGTATCCAAACAGAGGTTCTGAATTTGGGCTCGTCCTGCCCCTCTTTGGCTCTCTCAGAATCCCAAAATTCCTTTAGGATCATGGAATATTCTGAGTTGGAAATTTCACAGTGAGAGGCGGATTGGAAAGGCAAAAAAACCTCATCCCAAACCCTGCTTAGGAATTAACCATTCCTGAAATCCTCTTACTGTAAGGTACTTGCTACTCTTTAGGACCAAGGAGGAAATGAATGTTCTTGGAAGTTTCTTCCTGTGAAACATTTGTGACACTGAGGCCAATGAAACATTCCTGAGCACCTTTGAGGTGTGAAGTGACAGCAGATCTCTGGTGAGGAGGTTTCTCAGTGCTGGAGTTGGCATTTTTGTGCTGCTGTAGTCTCAGTTGTTCCAGGAGGTTGGTGAGGTGCTTCAGGCAGTTCTGCTCCTGATTTATGTGGGCTGAGATCAGAGCTTGGCTTTGGTTCTGCCAATGTTGTTTAAACTGGTCCAGAAAAGATACGAAGTATTCTGTTACCACAAAACTGTGTTAAGCATGGCCTAAATATTAGGTGTTTGTTCTGTATAGTATGTTCCATCAGCTATTTATTCCCAGTGCTTTCAACTCCAAATCCAACACCCATTTAAAATGGAGTCATTGGGCAGATATTCCTTTTCTCAATATAGGCTGAGAGATTCTCTACTGGAGGTTTAGGATACAATTTTGCTAACAGGTAAAAAACCATGTAAATATGTACCAATTCTATTTGTTGCACATAACTTTTTTGGTATAAAAAAAAAAAAAAGAAAAAACCCAACAAAAATAAATGTAGAAATTACCTGTGGATGTCTTGCTGCAATCATTCTTATGCTGCATTCATGCAGTCCAAACATAAGAGCTTGAATGAACCCAACCAGAGGCCTTTTTGGACTCAGTCTGAGCCTTAGAAACTGTTTTTAATGTCAGTACTGTAATTCTGTTTCTAGAAATTGTACCAAGTCGTGTGGTTTTTTTTTTTCCAAGACCTTGTGTGTGTTTAGCAGTAGAAGGGTTAAAGCACTTGATTCTCCCCAGATCCCAGTTTTCCCAGTAGAATTCCTGCAGCTTTGTGTCTGGCTGAGCATTGTGTGTAAAGGCTGAGCAGCGCTGACTTGAGGCTTTCAATGTTTACAGTTCTTTAAGCAAAAAAAGAAACAAAACAAAACCAACCCCAACCTTGTGATTTTTATCACTTTCTGCTTTATTGGGGCTGCTCAAAGCTGGTCCCACAGACCACAAAATCCCTGGAAAAACTGCTGGATGTGTCCCTGGATTTGGAGAGGGAGCTGCTGGGCAGGGTTGGGTTTGTTGAGAACAAGCAGGAATTAACCCTCAAATGTGTGCTCAGATTTTGGGGGGGCTGAGCTGAGCCCTGGTTTGTAAGGAGTGACCAATGTCAAATCCTCATCTGTGTTTTGGTCAGGTCTGTTGAAATTGGGGAAGAAAATGAGTTTTTAAAGGATGATGGAGAAGTTAAAATGACTCAAACACTGCTAGTTGGCAGTACCATGTGTGTTTGAACAAATGTCTTTTTATTGTGCATAGAGTTTTATATTCTGGAGGTTTAGTTCTAGAGAAAATCTAGGCCTAGCACGGTGTGAGGAATGCTGTAGTGTTGTTTCTTTTTGCTTAAAAACACAAGAAAAATTGTTGTGGAGTCTGCAGTGAACCTCTGTGTCCTTACTCTGCAGGACAGGGTGGAAGGTGCTGTTGGTTCCTCGTGTACCACCTCTGAAGGGAGCAGAATTTGGCCAGCACACAAGAGAAAAGCAAATCTTTCCTTTATATGGTCAGATTTGGTCACTTCCCTGAGGCACTCACAGCTGCAGAACAGGAGTCATGGCACCAGTTTCACCCAGAATCTGTAAATTCCAGTAATCAAACTCCAAATTGTAACTTCCCAAATGCATTGGGCAGCCTCTGCTTTTGTTCTTCTGCTCCTTGTGATGCTGCTTTTGGGGCAGTGCTGGGAAGTTTGCAGACTAAATATTCTGAGTTTTTCTGTGAGTGCTGGTGTAATCCACGCCAGGCTAAAGCCTGGCCTAGGCTGGTGTGCAGGCCTAAAGGGACAGCACTGAAGCAGCACAGGGATTTCCACCTGGCCCTGCCCCAGAGGGCTTCAGGCCACTCTCAGAAAAGTCTGGAACAGCATTTCCCTCTGGGCTGCTCTTCCTGTGCTGACATTTAATATGAAGGAAGCCCTTCCGCATGGAAGTGGCATTGTTGGACACAGTTTGTGTCTGACAGTGGCAGTTTTGGTACTGTAAAATAAATAGATTTCAAGTTGAGTTGATGTAGTCCCTCCCTCTGTAACATTCCACCTTGCTGCTGGAGCAGGAATTCCAAACTCTCTGTTGGAGTATGTTGGGTGGCTCACACCCTTCCTGGCTGCTGGGAATGCTCAGGATTTCTCACACATCCATCCTGTCAGGCCAGAGCAGCTGCACAAACTGTGCTCCTCTGCAATCCTGTGGACAGTTTGCTGTGATCTCAATAGTCTTAACTCTTAGGGGAGTTTAACTGGAAAACCTCATTTGCTTTAGAGGGATGTGATGTTCATTTAGAGTAACTTAGATTTTAAGTTCAGCATTGAGTTGTATCATGTAATATTTGTAATTTTTTTTTTTTTTTGCCATAAACAGATACCTCAGTCAGGATTTCTTAACTTCAGCTCCTTGAAAGTGAATATTTGTTTTCCTGCCTGGAAACAAGAAGCCTCCAGACATGGCTGAGCAGAGGAAACAAAAGTTTCTGATCTGCTTTGCATCACAGTAACTACTTCAGGTGGACTAGAAATCGCATTGGACTTGCAAGACTTGAATCAGGCATAAAACTTATTTAAACAGAGATTTAATAACGAGTTCAACATAATCCCCAGCCACTAAACCCTTTGTTTTCATTTTAGGAAGAGGGAATGTGATGTCATTGCAGGAGGAAGACAGCTTGATTCATTTGCAATCCTCCAGTACCTGTCCCTAAGAACAAAGGCAGCGGCTTTGGGCTGGCGCTGGCGGGTGAAGATTCCTTTCTTGTTCCCCAGAACTCGTGTGGTCCCTGCAGAGAAGTTAGAAAATAAATGTATAAACCAGGCTCTTCCAGGCCCTGCTTGAGCTGTTACAATGTAGGTACTAAATGAGGCCAGGTGGAAGAGACCTTTGCACAGTCAGGTACAGCAGGGAAGCTTGGCAGGATCCGTGGATGGGACACAGCAATCAGCTGCAGTTCCTTGTTTTTACAGCTGCTGAGCTGGGACACTTCACTGGGGTGTGCCCACTGATCAGTGCCACATCTACTGGTGATTGGCTCCACCTTCAGCTTGGATGGAGGAAATGGTGATGACTATTTACTGTCCTGTGTGATATCTGGATCCTTTCTGCCTGTTTTAGTTTTCACAAGAAATTAGATAAAAGGATTGCAACACGTAGAGAGACTGGAATTGCATCTGTGTCTGACCTTGTCTACATTTTCTCAGTCCTTCTTGATGCTGCTTTTCTGGGCACTGCCATCACTGAGCTTTCTAATGCCTGTCCTGGTGCTCTGCAGGGTATTTTAGTGCTGTTCCTCCCTCCCCCTGACTGTTCACGTAACCCACTGCAGGTGGCATAAGCAGAACAGGTTCTTTATTAGATCTGAGTTGTGATTGTTTCATTTCTGTGGGACTGCACTGTAAATTAAGGAATTTCCCTTCCTTTGTGACTGCACTTATCTGTTAATAATGAGTGGAGTGTCATGGTGAGACAGCTGTGTGCCAGCGTGGCATCTGCACCTCTGCTGCTGAACCTCTGCCAAGTAAATAATGATTATTTAAGGTGCTCTGTTCCCAGGGCAGCTGTAGGTGACACTGGAAGCAAGTGAGATGTCCCTGACAGCTGCCTGAGGCTCTGAATGGAGGGTGGCCAAAGCCCAGGAGCAATCTGGGTTCCTCACAAGCTTCCCCTGTGCATTGTCCCTTGTTCCTGGGAGCATCTGTGCAGGAGAAAGGAATTAAGCACAGGCAGGACCTTCCTCTTGGCTCTGGTCATGCTGGATTTTGTGACAAAACCAGCTGTGCTCTGTCCTGGTGAACAGAGGGCATTTTGCCCCACCCTTCAGCACAGTGTTTGTGTGGCATCAACCACTGAGCTCCCAGGGAGGATGGAGAGGTGTTCAGAATATAAATAAAAGCTCACCTTGATTGGTCATGAAATCAGCAAAATTCCAGATGAGCTCCCCGATCACGTACTCCTTCCTCTTCTTGTCCAGGACAGAGTGGTACTCCCTGAGCATGGCCTGCTGGTACTCCTCAGTGAACATCATGGGGGGGTCCTGCAGCCAGGAGAACAGGCTCAGGGCACACACAATCCCATCCCCACGGGCTGACAACTGTTCCTGGGCAGGAGCTCTGGGGCTGCCTGGTCTGCCAGCTGTGCTGCATTAACACGGCTGTAGTGACCATCAGCAAACACACAACTCCAGGGATTGCCAGGGGCAATTCCCCTGGTGGCCTGTGTCATGGCAGGGACAGGAGTGCCACCCCCTGCATGGGACAGCGCCAGGAACCTCCGTTCTCCAGAATTCGCTTTCATTTAAGCATTCTAGCACTTTCAAGGACAGATTTTGGAGTCCTCTTTAGCAGACAAAGTGAGTGGCAAAGCTCTCTGGTTTTGGGAGCAGGATCCCAATCCTGGAGCCTTTTGGACACTCCCAGCTGAAGCATCTCCCAGCAAAGCCAGGCCCAGTGGTGCCAGCCTCTCCCAGTTACAATTTTCTGCCTTCTAAGAGCAGTTTCCACCACAACACTCACACTGTGCAGCCCAGGCACTGAGTCTGCTCCATATTCACTCTGGATAATGGGTTTTTGGTAGGTTTTATACCAGTTCTCAAACTGGGCTGTGAGTTGGAGTGGGATCACTTCCAGGTGGCCTGGGTCGTGGTACCAGGAGAAGTAGCTGTTCACACAAATCACATCCACATAGGGAGCCTGCAAAAAACAAGGTGAGAGTGTTTTGGCACAGACTTCAACCTTCTCTTGTAAATCTAAATCCTCCTTTGGATTCATTTAATGGAATCCAGGTTTATTTCACATAGAATTAATTGTTTCCCCCATCACTCAGGCCCTCCAAATATAATCTTTCTCAGAAAAAAAAAAAAGGATAAATTTAATAAGCTAACAGCATTAATTTGGCATTTTTCTTACAGATTAGGAAGTCACAGCAAAGAGTTAGACAAGATCAACACGTTTCATTCTCAGGTTTGTTAGAAGTTTTTTTGTTTCCAAGATGTCTCTGGCTTGCTGGTACATTTAGATGTACTTTTTCTTTTTGAGTATTGGAATGTGATTATCAAGTGAGTGGTCAAATATTTTGACTAGCAACTAAATTTTGTGCATCAATGGTGCAATACTAAGACTAAAGCATTCTGCAAGTTTATCTGCCATTTCTACCACATGGACAGTGTGATAAAAGGGCACAAAGCCCCCTCAAAATAAAGTGATGTTGTATGTAACTTGTTCAATGTTCTCTTAACATGTTTTGTAATAAAAGAAAAAAAAAGTTCTAATATCACATCAGTGTATGAGAGATCTGTTCTTTGGGTTTGTTTGCCTGAGCTCCTCCAGTTGGGCAGAGTGGGACTGGGATATCCAAAAGCAGGTTCCTGCTGGGCTCCTTCAAATTTAAAACCACCTGAGGTTTCGTTTTTTTTCTGGGGTGGAGAGGAAAAACCTCAGAGTTGCAGCCATTCCTGCTAATCAGAAGATATTTTAGAAGAAATCCAAAGTGTAACCTGGATCAGAGATGTGAGGCAGCACCAACTCACCTGCTAGAAGTGATTATGGTACAAGGATCTACCCTGGAAACAAATACAGGTGTTAAAAATCCTTGGTCCATGCTATGAAAGGTCCCAAAATCCAAGGAAATTGCCTTTTGGTTATTTATCCAGCTCTACGCTTTAATTGTGGAGCTGGAGGAGCTTTTAGATTATTCAACACAAACAGACATCTGCCAAAGAAGATCTAGAGCAGTTGAAAGCAGGAATTAAAGCAAAGCTTCCTTCCTTTAGACTTCAGCAAGGGTTGTGAGCATTTTAAAGAGGTTTAAGCTTTGGCTTAATTGCAAGTGAAAATCCTGAGCATTAGTAAACACAATCAATGGCATAGCAAAGCATGACAATATTAATGGAATCCAGGGGCATAATCCTGCACACAAAGAATTATTCTCTCTTACAGATCCTTTTTTTTTTTTTCCAGCTGAGCTACAACTACAGGATAAGGTGATTTCTACTAGAAACAAAAATGTAATTTTTCTTTAGCCTTTCCCTGCTTAATATCTCCAGTAAATTTAGGTAGGAGCTGGGGGGAAAGAAGTATACAACAAGTGACAAGAGGAGGACATTTAATGTATGAATTTAAAATAAAAAAAAAGAAAAGAAAAAGCTAGAAAATAAAGCAAACTTACACCACGATCAAGAGCGTAATTAGCATCTGTCACAAAGGTGACTGGTCTGGAGGGGTCGAGAGCTTTAGTGTGAGCTATCACTGTCCTGTTTGCAAACAGTAAAGCAAGAGTTCAACAACAGCATGGAGCAGCACAGCCCCCTCTCCCCAGGCTCTCTGTCCTTCCACCCCCCAGACTGAGCTGCTTTTGATTTAGCAGCCAGTGTTTTAAAGAAATAAAGAGAGTATCTGTCACCGAGTGCTACGCCACCTGAAAAAGAGCAGAGTGGAAGCACACCAAGCACAGGCACGTGGGTGGTGCCAGCAGCTCAGAAGTTGAAGGGACAGTTGAGTTTGAGGACAAAACTGTAAAAAGGGCGATGGGAAGTTTCTGAACAGCTCCTGGGATGTGTTCTTGAGGCCCTGTGCCACAGCAGGCAGAGGGTGGATGTTTCTGAGGAAGCCCTGAGTGAGGGAGATGGGACAGAATGGGAGAGTCAAGCTCTGCTGCTGCCCTGACATTGCAGGAGGTGGTGGAACATCCTGAAGAATGAAACTCACCGCTGTCTCTTAATGCACCTCAGCTCTCAGGGACAGTCTGCTGCCCATTACACAGCTGCCTCTGGGCTATCCAAAGCTTAAATCTCTTCAGAAATAAACCAAGGGGGCTGCAGGGACTCAAAGCAGTGGTTTAGAAGTGGGAAGCCATAGAACAAATAAGCAGCACTAGCTGCAAAACCTTGTGTTCAGAATGAAATGCCAGTTATTTTACAGCTTTGCTGTAAATCTCAAAGGATTCAGCACTCATCTTCCAGTGCTAACAAGGACTATTCCATTCTCACCAGGTCTGATTTTACTCAACCCTTAGCTCAAGAAGAGATGCTCAAACCAAGTGGACTCCTCGTAATTTTGTGGAGTCTTGCTGGTTCAGAACCAACACGCTGGGACAGTTCTGAGCATCACTTCCACACATGCAGCAGTTCCATTTTAGTTTCCATCCACAGGTTCAATTCCAGTGCTCCCAAAAATGCCTGCCCTCCTTTTACTGCCTCTCTGTGCCATCCCAAAGGAAGAAGAGGCATCATCTGCCAAGAGATGAGGAGCAGAGGCACTTACTTGAAGTAGTGAGCAGCTGGGGGCAGCTCTGAGGCCGGCTCGTTGGCCACTGACCACATGACCACCGAGGGCCTGTTCTTATCCCTGCGGACCAGCTCCTCCATCACTGCCAGGTGATGCTGCAGGGACTTGTTCCCAAAGCTCTCGCTGGAAGACAGAAGGAGGTGAGGGTGTAAAATCATCCATTTCCCTGTGAAAACTCAGCCTCTGGCCACAGCAGAGCCTTGATGCTGAGGATGGCTTCTGCCCTATTTCCCCAAAGTGTGCTGCACAGTTCAGGGCCGTGGTTTGGGCTCATTAATGAAGCCATGTGGCAAAATGTGGCAAAATGTCCTCTGGTTGCCCAACATCATGGCGCAACAGGAGATTTCCAAACAGAACAAAGTACTCTCACTATCGGCACAACGGGTGGGACAATGAGCACAAAAGTGTAAAAATAGTGATGGACACTTGGGAGCAGCTGAGGGAGGAGCAGAGGAGCGAGGGCAGGTTGTGCTGGGCAGCTCTTACGGCAGTTTGATGCCCACCCCCGGGCTCTCGTCGATGACCACGATGCCGTAGGCGTCGCACAGGTCCATGATCTCCTCGGCGTAGGGGTAGTGGCTGGTGCGGAACGAGTTGGCCCCCAGCCAGCGCAGCAGGTTCAAGTCCTTCACAATCAGGGCCCAGTCCAGGCCTTTGCCACGGATCTGGGGGGAGAGAGCAACCAGGCCTTGTGAACACAGCTTCCCTGCTTGAGCCAGCCCCAGCCCTGCCCGGGGTGGGGAACCCGCCAGCCACTGTCACAGTCAGGGGTTTGGGCTGGAGGGGACCTTAAAGCTCGTATCATTCCACCCCCTGCCATGGGCAGGGACACTTCCCACTAGCCCAGGACTCCAAGTCCTGTCCAGCTGGCCTGGAACACTTGCAGGGATGGGGCAGCCACAGCTTCTCTGGGCAATGTGTGCCAGGGCCTCCCCACCCTCACAGCAGACTGGCTGATGGACTGCCAGCATATCTGGCTGAAAGCTGTGGCTGGGAGAGGCTTCAGTGTCCCCACCAGCACATCCATGTGCCCTGAGGGATGGCAGGACCGGGCATGGTGTCCCCTTAGTGCTTAGCCTGGGAGGAGGGTGTGAGGAAACAGCTCCTTGACAGGGTGTCAGGAAACAGAGAAGAGAGGGGAGGCAGTGCAGGTGCCACCTCGGCAGTGTGAGCTGAGGTGGCCCTGCGTGTCCCTGCCACGGGTGCCACACTTACATCTGCATCCTCGTGCTTGTTGACCCCGTGGAAGTAGAAGGGCCTGCCGTTGATGAGGAACTGGCTGCTGGTGACGTGCACGGTGCGGATGCCCACCGGGAGCGTGTACACGTCCTCCAGCAGGGCCCTGCCCACCTGGGCCTGCATCCTCACCTGCAGGTCAGGGAGGAACAGGAGGGATCCTCACAGGGATGCCCAGCGCTCCCTCCCCTGTCTGGGAGGGAGATTCTGGCCCCACATCCCTTCCCAGCCCTCAGCACACAGCCTGTTCCTCACTGCTGCTGCTCAGGGGGAGCCGGGTCTGACTGAACAAAAAATACAAATCCAAGGTGTGGAAGCTGAAGGATGAAGAATGAGCCCCTGGATGCTCATCCCAAAAAAACTTCAATGTCTTTTCCCCATGGCATTCCCCCAGGCCATGTCTGTGCCCTGCACCTTGATGCCAGGCAATGACTGACACATCACCTGCTCCCAGGTGTGACCCTGAGTCCCTGGAAACTCAGAGCAGCTCATCCCCCCTGTTTCCTGCACCTGAACACCACCACTGATCCTTAACTCCCACAGGATCTCCCAGGCTCCAGCTGAGGTACTCATCATCTCCCCAGAGGGGATGCATGGACCCTCAGTGGGAAGGGCCAGCAGCTCAGAGCACACTCCCGGAATGCCCTTCTCCCTGCCAGCCCCTTCAGAAGCTGTCAAAGTTTGATTTGATTAGTGCCTAATTAGCGGAGCCACTCTGGTCACATGCACAGGGCCCGTGAGAGGACAGAGGAGAGGCCATATGGCAGTGCCTTAACCCTACTAAACACACCCACAGAGGAGGAAATGCCACTTTACCTCCAAGGAGTACAGGTATCCAGGGTTCTCGTGCATCAGGTAAGGCCACCAGAGTTTTGGGTTGAGGACTTTGAGCTCTCCCACTGGGCCATCACCCGTAGCAACCACCTTCCCCTCTTGGTCACGTAAACTCAGGGACAAGGAACTGGCTGTGCTGCCAACCACTGCCACCTGATACTGCACCGTGGCTGGCTCAGAGGAAACAAACGACAATCAGAGACTGCAAGAGACAGCTCAGCCTCAGGGAAAGCCACTGGGAAATAAATTCAGTCAGACTCGTGCAGGATATTTTCCCTGCTGCCCTTGGCATCTCCACTTGGAGCCCGAGGGAGCTGCTGTGACTGGACCTACCAACAGTGTCTGATGAAGTGGTTGTCACAGTGATGTCATCGATGTAGGCAGCAGGAGTGGTGTACAGCACAACAGGGCGGTGAATCCCAGCATAATTAAAGAAATCAAACTTGGTGTCCTGCACAAAATAGTTCTTGGGGTACCTGAGTGAGCAAGACAGGAGCAAGGCTGCATTACACTTCACTACACAGCTGAAGGCAGCATGTGGATGCTGGCAGTGCAAAATAATAATGTAAAATATCTTTGTGACACGCTGGATCTGTCAGATGTTACACTGTTGCCCTGATTTTGTAAGACTTTGTTAAGCCTTCTGATGTTTGCATTCTTTCAACAAACTTTCTCACACACAGTTCTGTAAATAACTTATGTTTTGCATTCTTTCATGGAGGTGGAGAGAATTGATGGACCCTTGGTCTGTCCAGTGGCATGGGAGAGGTGGCACTGTCACCCTCCAATCCACTGTCACCTTTGGAAAACTATAAATGTTGGAGTCAGAAAATAAAGTTCCTCTTCTTCTTTTTTGTTCCCCTCGAGAGCAGCAGTGTCTGTGTTATCATTTCGTGCCTTATCACAACATTACACTGAAGGATTTTGCAGTTAACAAAGATCTTCATCCTTCAGGAGAGCTGGTACTTGCAGCTCCCAGCTGAATCCAAGCTTCTGAAACCTGCCCTGGATTCAACTTGGCAAATCACCCAATCTGAGCCCCCCGTGCACAAACAGATGCAATAACTCACCGCCGACTCCTCACAACACCACAGCTTCAACTCCTCACAGCTCCACCAACAAATCCACCACAAAGACAACCCCACTGAGGGATGTCTGAACCAGCAGCTGAACAAACTCCCCCTGTCCCACACCCCTGGGACGAGCCCAGCAGCAAAGCACCCCAGAACTCACCTTGATTTGTCAGCCATGTAGCGGATGGAGCCCGGGGGCAGCGTGTGGGGGGTCAGGGTGTTGTTGAGGGCCACAGTGATGCGGCACAGGGTGCCTGGGCTGCCCTGCACCACGCTGCTGATGTCAGCCTCAAAGGGCAGGTGCCCCCCTTCGTGCTCCACCACCTGCACCCCGTTCACCCACTGCAAGGAAAGGCACAAACATGGCTCATGGGGATTCTGTGGTCAGCAGAGAACAGGGAAGAAAAGCTACAAGGAACACCTGGGCTCGTGGTCCTCAAAGGGTCTTTGAGGGATCAACCTGCTGCCACGATATTTTATGAAAAATCCTTTGCTAGGATTTTTTTCTCCTATTCTAGCTGAGAAGCCTCAGAAAATAAATGTAAACAATGACCTATCCGATGGCTGTGGAATGTGGTCTGGACATTGTTTACCAACAGGTGCACCTTTGATTGGCTCATGTGAGTTGTTTTTACTTAAAAACCAATCAAAGATGCAGCTGTGTCAGACTCTGAGGGCCACCAGCTTTTGTTATTTATTCCATTCCTTTTCCTTCCCAGCTTTCTGGTGGATCCTTTTTATCTCTGTTTTTTTAGTATCGTTTTAGTATAGCATTTTAATATAATATAATATCATAATATAATAAATCAGCCTTCTAAAACATGGAATCAAGATTCTTCTCTCTTCACTCATCCTGGCATGCCCGAACATTACCATATATCTTTGAGGGATCAGCCCTGATCTTTGAGGGATTCCCTTTGCTGGGAGCTAGGTGTGGGTCATTGCTGGGAGCTAGGTGTGGGTCACACCAAGTGTCACTGAGGGTCACAGTGTGGGGCAGATCCATTCATCAGGAAATGTTCAGTTACCAATCCCAAAACTGCAGTATCAGAGAAACTGGGATTCATTCTTGCTGGGGGAAAACGGGCACGAGCTCAGAAGGGGATGCACAATCGAGGCAGGGACGCATTTGCTGAACAAACCATACAAGTGCCTTTAGCCCAGCCTAACTTAGGAAGCACAGGGCCGATGCCCCGAGGCACGCACCACGATGCAGTAGTAATGGGCGCTCCCAAAGCGCAGCAGCAGCCTGGGGGCGGGATCGCCCTGCAGCCAGCGCAGGGGGAGCAGCACCTCCTTCTCGTACCACACCCAGCCGATGTAATTCTCCAGGCTGGGGTCCTGCGTCACGTCGTTGAAGCTGGCAGGCACTGGCATGTCAATCACAGGGCCGGTCTGGCAGGAATTGCGTGGAAAAAGGAAGGAACAGAGAGTTTAAAAAGAGGAGCTTTACTACTGGAGGTGTCCCTTTCCACCGACAGCCCTGCAATGCCTCTGCCAAGGGGAAATGCTGTTTGAAAACTGCTGAGATCTCTCACAGCTCCTATACAAGCCCTAATTAGCACCAGGCACAGGAACCTGCCTGTTCCTACAGGAAACGGCTGCTCCTTTCTTTTCCCCTCCTGCTGTACAATGAAATGTTTTCATTAATGGCCCTGGCATCATGGAATCAGAGAAGTGAGGAGGGAAAACCCAAGCCCAGATTGTTGTTTCAGTGGGAATTTTCTCCTTCACAGCTCCAGAGCAATGTGGGGGTTGTGGTGCTGTTTGTCAGCTAAGAGCTGTAGTTAAAGAGTAACAAAATAATAGATATTTTGGGCAGTAATGAATATTTTGGGATATTTTTCTCCTCGTGGAGACAGGCTGGGCTGATACCAAACATTCTCACTGCATGAAACAACAGAGATTCCTTGAGAATCCATTCAGTTGCTTATTCCAATATGAAGATTAGAGGGAGGCAGTGTCACAACACATTGAAAATCCAGATGCTGTTGCCAAGCTGTTAATTTTCAGCACTTTCTGCCCTCAGGATGTTGCACAAAGGGGTTCTGCAGCTTCTCCTCTCCCGAGGAAGCCTCAGGAAATGGAATGAGGAAGGTCTGAGCACCCGGGGTGGGCATCATGTGCGTGGCTGACTCAGCTCTGGCACTGCAGAGAGCCCAGTGCCCTCATCAGAAATTCCTAGTGGGAACATCCATGGATGGGCAAGAGGATTTTCTATTACCTGATGCAGGAAAACCCTTGCCTGTGCTGGCCAGAACCTGTGTGTCCTTCAGGGAGATTCTCTGAGCTCTAAAACAGGTTGAGTGCACTCATCTAAGCCTCTCTTTGAAGGGGCAAGATCAGGATTGCTCTCCTCTGCAAAACTTCCAGCGGCACAGTGCCCTCCAGCTCTTCTCTCCTTCCACAATCCAGCAACAAAATCGGACAAAAGGCTAAAAACAGAAATAATGAACGACTTGTCCATTTTATGCACAAAATCCCTAACTCCTTTACGTGATCTCAGTCACATCAAAACTCTTCTACCAGCACTCTGAAACTCTGGAATAAACAATTCCCAGTGCCCTTCCAGGCACATTTGTGCCGGTTCTGCTGGAGGCTCAGCGCTCTGCAAGGCTCCTGCAGCACGGGACACCTGGAGGTGAACGGGGCTCATCCAAAGGGTGTCTGCCTCCGGAGCAGCACCGGGGCATCATCAGGGGCTGCTAATTAGGAACTGCCTCAAGAACAACCCGGGCAGGGCCAGCAGCGTGCGGAGAACGGCAGCGGCTCCGCCAGCCCGCTGGGGAAGAAGGCAGGGAAAGAGGAAAAGAGGAAGAAAGAAGAGGAGCCCCAGCAGCGGAGTCCGGTTCGGAGGGGAAAGAGCGCAGCCCGAGCCCGGCGATGGCAGCGCCCGCCCCGCTCCCCGCTACCTGCCGGAGCGGCCGCCGGTACCAGCGCTGCGCGAAGCCGGCGTCCCTGCCCGGAGACAGATCGGCGCGGAAGCTCCAGAGGCCGCCGAGCTCCCTGCGCTCGCGGGAGGGGGTGTCCCGGGGCTGCAGCATCCCGGCGGGACCGGCCGCCAGCCCCGGGAGGAACGGGAGGAACAGCAGCAGCATCGGCAGCGTGCACGGACCGGCCGCGCCGCCGCCTGAGGCCGCCAGCGCCATCTTGGCTGTGGGCAGGGCCCGCTGAGGGAGAGGGGCGGGGCTGAGGGTGAGGGGCGGGGCCGCGGCTGAGGGAGAGGGGCGGGGCTGAGGGTGAGGGGCGGCCGGTCGCGATTCCTGTCACGATGCTAATCCCTGTCACGATCCCTGTCACGGTCCCGATCCCTGTCACGATCCCTGTCACTGTCCCTATCCTGATCCCTGTCATGGTCCCGATCCCGCACCAACGGGATGAGCGACTGCAGAGCCCCACAGGGGCAGGGTCCGGTCCCACGGTCGCCGCCGGACAAAGCCACGAGTGTCCCGGCGTAAAGGCGCCTCCAGGAAATTTCAGGCTCCGTCCTGGATAGCTGGATTTCATCGAGAGGCGAGTGGTCTCCTCCCTTCCTCTCCTCTCCCCTCCGTCTTATTTATTACTTAGGGGTTTAAATGTATTTATCACCTACTTTTACTTATTTATTCATTTGCTTACTTATTTACACTATTTATTTATTTATTTATTTGTCACAGGAGCATTTACGTTGGAAAAGACCTCTGAGGTCACCAAGTCCAACCTGTGACCCCCTGTCACCCAGAGCAGGGCACTGAGTGCCACATCCACTCTTCCCTTAAACACCTCCAAGGATGGTGATTCCAGCTCCCTGCACAACCCGCTCTGATGTCTGGTCACCCTTTCTGGGAAGAATTCCTCCTGATGTCCAACCTAAACCTCCTCTTAAGTGCAGCTTAAGTTTATTATTGTTGCTTGCTTACTTTTGGTTATTTCTTTATTGCCTGCTTGCTTACTTCTATTTACTTTCAGAGTCTCTTGTTGAAGTGTGAAGGTTAAAAGTTATTGGAAATGGCAAAAGGGGCGCTGGTGGCTTCTTGGGGAGAAGAGGGAGGGTGAGCTCTTGAAGAACCAAGACACAGGAGCAGCATTTCAGTGAACCAGACACTTCAGTGTTTATTAACTCCAGATCAGTGGCACGGGATCTCTCCCCACACTCTAAGCCTGTTCCTTGAGCCTCTTGAGCAGCTCCCGCAGCTGCTCGATCTGGGCGGACACGCTGCTCTTGGCGGTGCCGCCCGCGGCCGTGTACTGCTCCACGCTGCTCACCACGCTGAACACCTGCGCCACGTCGCTGCCAAACAGGGGGCTGGGGGCACAGGGGCTGTCAGGGGGCTCTGGGCCGCTCCCCCTGCCCAGTGCCTGTGCAGAGGCTGAGGGAGTGAGGACGGAGCCTTTTCCCCAGGGGAAACGCTCCTGAGCTGCTGCTGCCTGACATCAGCTCCAAGGGGACATGGAGGAACCTCAGAGCCAAAGCCCTCTGGGGGCTTCCTGCTCAGGGCAGAGGTGTCTCCCAGCCCCTCCAAGAGCTCCTGCCCATGCCCACGCCCATTCCACCCTGCTGGAGTGGAATGGAGGTGATGTTGTCCCTCTCCAGTGTTTCAGCTGGGATATTCAGGACAGGAGGATGTTGAGGTGCTGCCCAGCCCAGACACTTTGGGGAAGGCAGATGAGGGAGGCTGAGCCCTGCCTGTGCAGGGAAGTGAAATAACAGAGGTACAAACCTGATGCTCTTCAGGTCCTCCAGGCTGAGATTGTTGATGGTGATGCCTTTGGTCTCGGCGAGGTGGACGGCCTTGCCAGAGGCCACGTGGGCTTGTCTGAAGGGCATCTGCAGGGGGAAGGGGACAGAGCAGAGGGGACTCAGCTCAGTTCCTCTGCATCCAAAGAAATCCCAGCTCCTGCTCTCACTCTGGCACTTACTCCCTTCCGGACCAGGTAGAGAGCCAGGTCAGTAGCCAACATCTCCGGGCTCAGAGCCCTCTCCATGCTCTCCTTGTTGATCTGCAGGGGGAGGATCCCAGGGACACGTTACCATCAGCTCCTCCTTGGGGCATGTTAGTGGCAGGGTGTGGGGAATTCATCTGGAGCTCTGAAAGAATGCTCTGAGCAGCTGGCAGAGCCTGAATGCACCAGGCTGCCCCAGAGGAGGTGACTTTTTACCTATTCATTACCCTCCACCCCCTTGCTCATGTGCTGCAACACATCCAAAATAACATTAGGACAATGTGCTGATGCTTCCTAAAATCCCAGATATTATGAGTAGTCCCAGGGGGACATTTACCACTGCACAGCAGCTCTCTGTCGATTCCCAGGGGGTTTCCAGCCAGAGCTCCACTGCCAGGGGAGAAAGAAACAGAAGTCACCCATGAGACCCCAACTACTATCAGATCAAAAGTGAGCTCTAGTCATGACACCTCTCTGAAGATTTCCCTCCTCCAGTTCACTTTGATTTCACACTGTGGTCTGAGGCTCATCAAACCCTGAACTCTGGACTAAACCAGATTTTTTCTCCCAAACAGGAAGATTTACTTAATGGAAGCCTTGTAATCCTTGATTTTTTCAAGAAGAAATAGAAAAATATTTGTATGGTGAATGTCTTTGGAGAGGCAAGCTGAGCTGCAGTGTTTATGGAAGAGAAACCCCAGTGGCTCACAGGATGGACAGATCTGCCTCTTGTCTTTATCTCAGAGCAAAGTGAAGGCTGAGGATCACAATAAGAAATAAACTTTACCTTCCCAAAGGCAAGACATTGATCCTCCTCTTCACCTCTCCCAGGCGCTCAGAATCGCGGGTCAGAGCAACAGCATGGCTGGGGAAGGACAAGGGGGAGAGAGCACGTGAAGCAGGGAATGGCTCTTTGATTTCCAGTCATTATCCTGCCACGCCTGGAGCCTGGGAACCCACCTCAAACCTGAGGAGCCTGGGCAGAGCCAGGGGGACACAGGGAATTCCTGTTCCAGTTTGCAGGGCTCCCTCTGGTTTGTCACCAGCCCTGGCTGTCCCCTCAGCAGAGCAGGGCCCCGAGGGTGCAGAGGGTGGGAGGTGCTCACCTGAGCAAGAACTGGCTCCATCGGATGGGCTGAGCTTTCTGCAGGTGGGTGTAGCCAGGCAGGATCACATCGATTTCTCTGGGAGGGAAAGGACAGAGAGGTGAGCAGCAGAGGCAGCAGGGAGGGCAGGGACAGGTCTGTAACTCCCTGCACAGGAGATCCTGCAGCTGCACAGTCACACAACAAGCCTAGGAGTGTCCTGCCCCAAAAAGGCATGGAAAACAGGGACTGAGGAAAAGGACTCACATGGCAGCACGTTCCACCAGGGCCTCAATGAGCCGCAGGAGGTGCGTGGAGATGATGGAGAGGGAGTTCTTCATGAACAGCTTCAGGTCAGTCACAACCTGTGGGGGATTGGCCACAGCCAGGCCAAGCACAGCAGGACAGATTTAGTGACCAAATATTGCTCAGCAGAAGCCCCTGGCACTGTTATCCCCTCCTGGTGCTGTGTGATGGGAAGGGAAATCTTCCTCCTGTGGGATGTATCCCTGGTCACTGATTTGTGAAAGCTGCTGTTGCTTTCCATGGACAGAACCAAAATCTGTTATTTTCAGTGGACTTGTCAGGTATTGTCAAATTTGAAGCAGAAAATTCCCAACGAACACAAATTGATCATCCTGAGGAAGACTGATCCTGAAAGATGTGTGCACCCAGCCAGCAGAGTCAGGGGTTCTGGAGGTTTTCAGAGATGTCAGTGGAATGTTGTGGCCTTTTACCAGCAGGATGCAGCCCTGCAGATCCCACTCCCCTAGGTGGATGAGTGACTGCAGCATCATTAGTTTAAAGCCATCATTAATTTAAAGGGAATACAGGCTGGAGTGTGTCAGGGCATGAGAGAGATGGCATAAAAATATTGAATTAATGAATTGAGGTGGAGGAATACAAAAGAAGAAGGCTGGCAGGACAGATGGAAGCTGATCTGTGCCAGGGCTTTACCAGCCAGACAAAACACTTTAAAATGTTTTCCCTGGTGACTGTTTCCATGTCCCTGTGCCTGAAAGGACAACAGGACAGAGCCTGCAGGGGTGAGGGTGTAGCCATGTGTAAAAGGCAGCTTTGTTAGAAAGCTGAGGGAAGGCAGAGAGGGGAATCAGAATTGAAAAAGAAATGTTAGAGCTCCGCAGTACTCATTTGGTGCACCCAGGAGCAAAATTAATGCTAAGTTAAAGACCATTCCAGAGGCTCAGCACTTGACTGGGGACCAGGAGTATCCAGTATTTAAAGCTTCCCATCAAAGCAAAAAGGGTGTCAGCAGAAACATTGCAACATACACATTTACAACCCAGAAATCAAAGCTGAAAGGTTCATTTTAGGCATCTCCAGGACTCTTCGGAGCAGTGGCTGTGCAGCCTGGCAATGACAAACACTGATTGGAACATGGAACAGATTTGGAGAGCAGAAAGTGAACTCGCCAGGATGCCCGGTCACGTCTGGGCAGGGAAGGAAACTGAAAACGCAGCTTTTGTGCCGAGCAGTGTTTATTTACACAAGCTGCTGGGAAGTGCGAGTCCCAGGCACGAGTATCGGCCTTTCCCAGGAGACAGCGGCAGGAACGCGGAGGCCCCGGGACAGCCCCGCTCGGCTGAGCACCCCCGACAGCCCCGGGGAAGCAAAGTTCGCTCACCTCGGCTGCTGCCATCGCGGCCGTGCTGGCTCCGTGTGCGCCGCGGGGCCGCTGCGGGGACACTGCGGGGACACTGCGGGGCGGCTCCGGGCACCGGCCCGGTCCTGGTCCTGCTCAGTCACGACCCCGATCCCAGATCCACTCCCGGTTCCGATCCCAGCTCCAGTCCCGGTCCCCGTCCCAGCTCCGGTCCCGATCCCGATCCTGCTCCCAGTCCCCGTCCCAGCTCCGTTCCCAGTCCCGGTGCCGATCCCAGCCCCAGCTCCGGTTCTGATCTCAGCTCTGTCCCGGTCCTGATCCCAGCTCCAATCCCTGTCCCAACTCCACTCCCGGTCCCAGCTCCAATCTCGGTCCCGATCCCAGCTGCAATCCTGGTCCCGATCCCTGTGCCGGTACCGATCTCAGCTGGATTCCTAGTTCCGATCCCAACCCCGGTCCCGATCCCAGCTCCAGTCCCGCTCCCAGCTCCAATCCTGGTCCCGGTCCCGGTCCCGGTCCCGCTCCAATCCCG